CTCATGTGCTACTAAAAGATTTCAAATTTAACTCTTCTAGTGTGACCTTTTTCGCGGACCAGCAACCTTCCATTTGTCGGGTCACTGAAGTCGACATCTACAACTGACATACCACATGGCTGCACAATTAACTTGCCGAACTTCGGGGGCCAATATGTCATAGGGTTAGGTGATTTCTTGCGATCTTGCTACGGCTCGAAAAGTGCGAAAACACATAATAGCACCGGACCGCTTGATGCGCTCCAGCCTGGGCTAATCTTCCGTCATGTAAAATTTACAATAAATATATTCACGCCGGAAGCTAAAATTTCCGCAGCATGCTGCAGCTTTGCCGTTTCAGCCAACGCCCTTTTTCTCTTGCATGCCAGGAAAGACTAAAACACTGCCAACATGAGTGCACACGTTAAGCTGTAAAACAGCACCGTTCAGTTTATGGTCTGATTGCTTTAAGTTAAACGCATGATCACACTGGCAAGCCCGTGTGTCTAATGACAAATTTGCCTCAAACTGTTTGGAAAGTTTGCAAAACTTACTTCTTTCGCAGCGCTGCCCAACGTAGCCGAGTTGGCAAGCGCAAATGAACGAAGCCTTGGTACCAATGCAGACCCCTCGCTTATTGCAGTCTGCCGGGTTACACAAGATTGTTATACCAGCCTGATTAGGAACTGTAAGGCAATTGTGACAGCATCAAAAAATTCTGTGGAGGAGAAACAGGAGAATGAAACAAAAAGATTTATTAAGCGTGTATTCTACCTGCTGCGAATATATTTTTCTGGCACTTAAGGCCTGAATGGCCAAGAAAACATAGGCACTGGAAGTTTTGTTTCGTCCCCATACATAGGCCTTTATAGCTGCATTCTGATGGATCGCATGCTGATTGCAGTTTTTTCGCTTGCGAACGGCGTTGTCGCACTCAAATTAAGTCAGATTAGAGAATGTATATGCAGAATCCTCTCCTTCTTTCTCGAAGTACTGTAACAGTAATTAAAACACACTATTCCGGCTAAAGACAGCATATTTTTGTTTTTTTATCCAGCACTTCCACAAATCTCAACCCAAGCTGTTCAGCGTGGTGTAGGAGCGACAACGGTCCAGGTAATGTCAAGGAACGGCAGGGTGCAAACTCTGTCGGTCCCATACATGTTGAGAAGACACTGTGTGGGGCTTTCTGCACCGGCGGAGTTGAACTTTCAGTACGAGAACGTCATGGCGAAGCACTTACTTAAAATATCGGTGGAATTCATCAAAATTTCGCAGTGATCGCCACGGAATCCACGGCTGCACACGCACAAGTTGTTTTTCTCGGTTCCGAGGCAAAACCCTTTTCCGCTACACGCTACCGCACTGTCGCACAGCGCTATAAAATCAAGAACACAACTCACCCGTAAAGGCTTATTAACTAAGTCAGCACTTAAAAAACAGACCTTCGGTACACTTTTCGCCACCGTATCCAGCCTCACAAACGCACACATCTTGGTCTGTTGATAGACAAACGCCATGCACGTGTTTGCAAGCTTCTCCGCGACACATTTCTTTTGAAATCTGCAAAAGCAAAAATTATTTCAGTGATATCCAAAGTAAGCGTGCCACCGCTTGCTTTCATTAGCCTAAAAATCTTATGCCTGGAAAAAAACCAAAATTTGAGGGGAAGATCAAAATATATAAACTAGCCAAACCGATATCAAATTATAATCGAAGAAAACAAAAATTGCTCATGATTTAAATTACGCCTTGAAATGCTTGTTTAAATATTATGATCTGAAACAAGCAAAAAGGTGTCAAAATTTTATGCTTCTTATATCGAAAGCATACAATCCAGCTCATCAATTTTTTCTTCAAGGACGATCACTTCAACCTATGCTTTTTTTCTATTCAGCAATATTAGGATCATCTAGTTGCGGATAGACCAAATTTTTGACAAGAAAGTTTCTAATTTATAATATTTATTATAAACTAGGCAGGAATAAGCCAGGCTTGCCGGTGCGATCATGCGTTTTTGCATCGGACTTGAAGTACTCAGGTTATTAACGGCATGAATGGTTCTTGCTTTACACCTGCTTTTTGCGGTCACTAGCATAAATTATCAAAAATATTGCGTAAAGTAAATTTACAATTTCCATTTAACGGTCGTTCTTTAAAAGTAACCTGGCTATTCAATGAGAAATTTTTCCGTCAAAACTTTAAAGTGCCCGCAAGTAAGAATCACGCATACCCCAAGGCTGAATTAGAAATACTTAAGTTGTACTTAGACAGTGAACATTCCCCTAAAATTTCAACCTTCTAGCGTTTCTGTTTCCCGAGTTAGTAATTTTCCCACAGAAACTTTCATGCGCCCCTACTTGAGTACCACGCGTAGCTGGGAGCTGAATTTGAAATACTTAAGTTGTACTTTGACAGGGAAGATTATTCCAAACTTCAGCCTTCCAGCTTTGCAGGTCACCGAGATAGCAATTTCCTCGTCAAACCTTCTTGTGCTCGTATTTGGGTACTTCACGTATCTGGAAGGCTGAATTTGAAATTTTTTAATTTAACATGGACATGAAGCATTCCTCCAAAATTTCAGCCTTCGAGCTTTTCTAGACAAGACTTCTCCCGCCACATCTTTCACATGTTCTTACATAAAAATTACGCATACCTGAGAGCTAGATTTGAAATATTTAAGTTTCACTTGGACAAGGGACATTGCTCCAAAATTTCAGCTTTCCAGTTTCTCTGGTTCTCGAGTTAGAAATTTTCTTTCCAAAAATTTCATACGACTTTACGTGGGTGCTAGGCATACCTGGGAGCTGAATCTGAAATTTTTAGCCAACACATGCATAGGGAATATTCCTACAAAGTTTCAGCCCCCTATCTTGTCTGGTTCTCTAGATCGCTTTCCCGCCTAAAAATCTGCATATTTTTTTAAAGCGTCCGTACGCGCCACTTGGGCGTCCACCGGGGATGATATTAAATCGGGAGGGTCGAGCATGGTATGGCACATACTCCCGAAGTTTGAGCCTTCTGGATTTTCTAGTTCTCGAATTGAAAGTGGGTGACAAAAGTGCGAACACACAGACACATGCACGTACACACAGACAGTTCCTTCCCAGTATGTGTTTTTGAAATTTGCATGCATGCAAAAAGGCATAAAAACTGTCCATATGGTTCGTTTCTTTCTTCACAAAAGACCTCTCTCCGTTTATTCCGTTTATTCTACAGACAGTCACTTTTTGTATGAGAGTGAAACGTGTATAAAGTTGTACAGTAGTTTGTGTCATTGTTTTTTTTTTTTTGTTGTTAACGGCAGACGGTTGGCACGGCTGATACGAAGGGTAAAAGGGAGAGTCTGGGATAAAAGCCCCACCTAGGGCGAGTTAAACAACTATATAAGACTCATTTTCCTCATTCACAAGTCAGGCGGAGCTTCATCTGGTTCTGATTCTTTTTCGGCTTGCCCAGTTTTTCTTC